CACATTCTCAGTGAAGTCTTTTCTGACCATCCTATTTAAAATAGCACCTAACACTCCCACTGCCCACCACTATCTCTTTTCCTCCCTACTTAGTATTTTCCCATATCTCGTTCAAACGTCATGAAGGATCTAAGATTTTGACCTCACTTGTGAGCTAACAAATTAACTCGCCACAGTTTCAAGGATGCTGGTAGAAATCCTGAAACTTGTCAGTTGGAGAAGAAGGACTCTTTAGTATTCACAACAATAGTTGTAGCCAAAGTAACAGCATTTTTTTTCCAGCTATAGTTCCAAATATAGTTTGCATATAAGATTGTGCACATTTAAAGTTTAAAATGTGATCATTTGATACACAGATGTATTGCAAAAGTATTTCCCGCAATAAGGATTGCTGTGTTAGGTCCTTGAGCTCCCATTTCTACAGGGTGAAGTGAAGGGGCCCACATGACACCTGAACTTACAGGGTGACTTACAGGAGGAAAACATTTGAGTCTAGGGAACTCGGGTGGATTATAGCAGGCACTGAGCTTCCTTGCCCTTTCTCTGGAGGAAGATATTTTATTTATATTCCCGGACAGTAAACACGCCTTCCATTCCTTTGGAGGGAGCCACTATCTCTACATTCCAAGGCTCTTTGCTGGCCAAACTTCTTGAAAAAATAGTGTGAAATGCAGAGTAGTCACTGCCTCTGCTTATCAGGATACAGAAAGGTGAGACTGTGCAGAATTATCTCAGAATTATCCCCATTTCTAACAGCTCAGTGCTCCTTATTTCCTTTGTGGTCGTCTTCCTCCACTAGCCTGTAAACTCAAGACACTTCTCATTTTAATTTAATTCTTGTCTATTTTATATATGCCTAAAACTATGTCTGGCACATAAAGCATGTTCAATCAGTTTTTGATGAATGAATAAATGAGTAAATGGCAAAATACACAAGAACTAATCAAAATGCCAAACTATAGGCAGATGACTAAGAAATTAAATAAATTCATAATATGATCTGCTTTACAACAAACAAAATACAGTAGTGGAACTTTTAATAATATTTCATACCTTGGAAAAATACTTATGATAAGTAAAAAAAAGTATGCATTCTGTATGTTGAAGACTATTTCAAAATTTTAAATAAACACACAACCCCACATTTCTATAGGAAAATCATGAAGGAAAAGGTACTGTGTTTCTCATAAAATGAAAAAAAAAAAAAAAAGAAATGGTTATAATAAAAAGAAAGGCCAGCAGCATGAACCTCCAGACACTGCTTTGAATCACCCCCACCAAGTACAGAACTCCTCTCCACACGCTTAGAAGCAGTAAAGTCTGGTGGAGCTCATGGTGGATAGCTCACGGTCAATATTCTGCAGAATATGGATAATAAGGGTGACCAGCAGCACTGAAAGAGAAGGAGGGATATTGATACATTAACTCTGTCTTCACATCGGAAAAGAGAGAGTTTCTCTGAGGTTGTGGTCAGGATGAGCTGACAACTAGATTTATTATCACATTCCTCCTTCTACCCTGACACACATACATGCCGGCTCCCTGTCCATGTGCAAACTACACCTGCACGCCCAAATCCCACATTACCGTGTAATGTAAATAACAAAGTGACATATAATTTGATTTATATTACAAGTTATAATTATTTATAAGTAAGAACTATGGCTAAAATGTTGTGGTAATTTCAGCCCCAGATGTAACTTTTGTCCCTAGCCAATGAGAACCATCACAGTAACTATTTTGCTGATCTTTTTCACACATTCTTTCAACAAATTTATACTGAAAACCCACAACAATCCAGGATCCCTCATTAATGAACTTCTATTCTATTGAGGAGACAACATGTACACCTAAAAACAACACCTACAAAATGTCATTACTGTTCTCTGCATTTATAATTCGTGAGAATACTTGTTATTCAATCATTAGTATTACTGTTGTTTTCTTTTTTTTCTATATACTTATTTTCCTTTTTAAATTTGTCCTTTTCAATTCAATTTCATTGAAGAGAGCATTCTGAGCAATTCTATGGTCCAGGAGTTGTGCTGTTGACATAGGACCACAAAGAAGAGTGAGACTAGGTATTCAAAGCCGAATGAAGGAGATCATAGATTTACACTTAAAAGCTTTTAGGAACAGAAAAGTACTTTCTCAGAATGATTACGTAGTTTTACAAACATGCAGGAGAATTTTGAGATCGTTCTTTTGGAACTAAAACTTTATTCTGTAACTCAGATTTTATTCCCCTTTTCTCTAAAATCCCATTAAAACTTCTCAGTTCGATGAGTCTTCTTTCTCTTCATCCTGAGATGCTTCTGCAGGAACTGAAGAACTGGAATGCTACATTTGTGAACAAGTCATAATCAAAGGAGGTGGAGGCTCCCCAGTAGTTAGTCTCCTGATGGGCAAAAGCCACCCTGGAGTAAGCCTTGACGCAAGAAACAGAGCAATCCAGAGGATCTTATCACGGTGTGTGCCACCGGGGACACATCAGCCACTAACATCAGGGTCAATTAAATTAATGGTCCATTTATAATTGCATTTGGTGAGATGACATGGCTGAGGAAATGGGAGTTGTGATAGGGAAAAGAGCCCAATGGAGAGATAAAATTGGAAGAAATGGGTGATGTCTTGAAACAGGCATGTCCATTAAGAAGAAATGTCACTTGACACTTAGGAGAGGAAGTGGAAGCAGGGCCATGGTATGACTTTCACAGAACCTATACACATTTGCCTTCTTGGGCCCCATCCTCCATAAAAAATATTAATGTTACATTTTACTACTGTGTTAGGATAAAAATGAATAGAATCCAGTCTGGATTCTTTATCACATAGACATTATTAATATAATAATTTTTCTCCTGATTTTAAAAAGAATTAAAGATGAAACATTTTATAGGCTGTAGGCCTATAAATTTAGTGGTCTGTAGGCACTGTGCCACCCGTGTTGAATGGGTACGTCAGCCCTGCATGGAAGCTCACCAGACACAGAGACTAGGGGCATAAAATTAGTGAATTCACCATGATGCAAACTTTTGCGATTTTACTTATGGTCTGTCCTGGGCTCGCATCTTTTTTCCCTTGGGTCAGAGACTGAGCCCTGGAGTCACCTGTGGTCTGAGTCTATAGGAAGCTCCTGTTTTACTCCTACATTGGAAATCAGGCCTGTAGTCCTGATTTAGGGAAACTTAGTTCCTCTGCTAACCTGAATGCTGCAGAAAACAAACTGTGAAAGATGATCTACAGGTCACTCACAATAGTACTTTTTCATATCGGAAATTTATGTTGAGGCTGTCACTTGCTTTCATATCTTCTGGAGTCAATTCAAAGTCAAAAACCTGAAATGAGGGAGAGGATCACATTAAACTTTTCTCCAAAGCAGCTGGCTTCTACCTGGGAACTTGAGGACTTTCCAGCTGGACAGAGGCAAAGAGAGTGTCCAGGGAAGGCTTCCCTGTCATCACCTTCCTGGTGTACTCGCCTGAGAACTCTTCTGCCTGTGTTCTCCACCTCTCCTACTCCACTTCCTCTCCTTCTCTCTCCTCTTCACAAAAGAAAGGATCACAACTCATCAATCCCAAATGTTTCCAATTGATATGCTTGTGACAAAAAAGAAAAAAATACATTTTTTTCCAAACAAAGGGACAGTTGGACAATCTGGACAGAATACCTGCTGATTTGTCCAAACTTTGGTCAGGTTTTTCCTTCCCCAGCAGCCTCTAGAATTTGACAGCCTTGAACTTAAGCAAGCACTGTGAGGAAGAGCAATGCCCTGTAAGGTCCTCTCCAAGAATCTATTGCCCTCTGGAAAAGCTTTCCTTTAACAACTGTTGGACCACACCACCTGCTCATGCCAAACCCCAAACTCTATTCTCTTTCTAGGAGTGTTTACTCTTCCCTGTAAAAGAAAACTCGTTCAAATTGACCTTTGAGACACTATTCATCTTACATTCAGTGAGTTCTCCCTTTTGATTAAAGTCTCTATTATTTAAATCCAGATATGTTTTTACTAGACAATGCATAGCCCCTGATAGAGAGTCCATTAGTAGCAAAGCAGACAGATCTTTGATAAGGAATATGAAAGCAAGGAGCTCATTATTTCATACCAGGGACAAATTGATGGAAAACTCAGAGCCTTATCTTTCTTTCTACCTATGTATCTATGTATCTATGTATCTCTCTACCTACCTACCTACCTACCTATCCACCTGTCATTCATCTTAAATATATACTCCAGAAGTGTTTTGGTTGTCATGGGCATATGTACTTACATGTGAGTTGAATTGAAAAATAAAATGGGATTTTTTTCTAAATGTTTTAACAATGAGATTTAGATTTCTGTATTTGATATTTTCATAAATTGAATGAACTAAACCTACAGTTTCAATGTTTTAGAGCAAACACACTAAAAATAATATGCTCCAATCTCATCTTTTGCAAATATTAAACTCATGATCAAATTTTTATCTGTTATCTTAAAACGGGATAGAGCTTAAGTAGTTTTTCACAATTCTCATCAGCTTCACAACAAAATAAGTTGAAGATGACTGAATGATCTAAAGTTCCAGGAAATGTTATGAGGGAGAATTTAGGGAAAAACTTTACTCATTTGTTTAATTTGATCTGCCTATAACTTATGTCTAGCTTCTGATTTTCCAGGAGGTCTTCTGGGGAAAAGGTGATCCAGAAGGAATCACTACATTTAGGATCACATCATCTAGAGGGCACAGCAACATATAAATGAACAATTTTAGTTAACAAAAAACTCACTAACATAGCCGTGCCTAGATATACGGTGTTCAACAACTGTGCTGGAGTGTCCTTGTGGTTTAACAAAGCAGCTAATGCTATTTGGTTTGATATTTACATACAAATAGGGGCTCATAAGCTAGAGAAGTTGAAGAAGTGGAACTAGGCTTTTAAAAGATTTTTAGTGCATGGAAGGACTCCTATAACTGAATAAAAAAAAAAACAGATGAAATATGCTCAGTGTCATACAACTAGAAAGAGGCAAAACCAGACCTAGAAGCCACAAAATTTAGGACTCTGAGGCTAGTTCTCTCTCTTTCCACCCTTCCAAGCTTCCCCCATAGCACATAGGGAGTGATGCACAGGGTTGAATGACAATGGGTAGGTGCTGAAAGAGATGGCCCCCAATACAGAACTCATTCCTAACTCTGAAGAGACTGTCCAGCCTGTACCTGGAAGTTATTTTTGATTCTCTTCTCATTGAAGCTCTTGGCCAGGACGACTACCCAACATTGCAGCAGGTAGCATAGGGCCACCTGATTTGGGTATCGATTGTGTCTCTTGGCAATGTCATTCAAGATTGGATCCTCCAAGAGATATGGACTATCCCTTTCTACCCTGAAAACAAAAATCAAAAAACACATATTTGAAGGGTGTAGGAATGAAAATCTAAAGAGTCCTTTACCCCAAATTCCTCAAAGAATTGAGAGAAGTTCAGCCAATATAGTATGATTAAAAAAGAATTTCAAGAATATGTGTAGAGATTCGTTCATAATTGTGCCAAACTGGAAACGACTAATATTTCCATCGATGGGTGATTAGAGAAGTAACTTGTGGTATTTATGTCCACGCAATGGAATATTACTTAGCAGGAAAAGGAAATGAACTAGGTACCTCCAACAGCGTGAGTAAATCTCACAGGTGTTATGCTGAGCCAAAGAAGCTGGATGCAAAAGAGTATATACTCTATGAGTATTTTTATATGTGACATACTAGAACATACCAAACTAATCTAAGTTGGAAAAAGAATTCAGAAGGATGGTTGCCTTGTGGTAAAGAAGAATAGTCTGGAAAGGACAGCAAAGAACTTTGTTGGGAAATAGAAAATTTCTGTATCATGATAGGGGTCAGATTATACAGTACACCATTTTTCAAAATTTGACAGCTAAGATTTATGCATGACAAACTGTGTAAATTTTATCATTAAATCACTTTAAAAAAAATATTTAGAATGGGAGTTGGAGTAGGTGGGCGTCTACAGGAAATGGAATGAAGGAATGTTGTTGATGACTGAAGTCCAGGGATGGTACCTGAGAATTCACTACATTATTTTATTTTATTTAGGTAACATTGGTTTATAACATTATATAATTTCAGGTGTGCATCATTATATTTCGATTTCTGTTTAGACTACATTGTGTTCACCACTTAAAGATCAATTACCATCCATCACCATACGCATGTGCCCTGTCACCCCTTTCGCCCTGCTCTCTCCCCAGTTTCCCTCTGGTAACCACCAATCTAATGTTTTTATCTATGTGTTTGTTTGTTTTTGTCATGGTTCCTGTTATATTCTACTCATGAGTAATATTATACGGTATTTGACTTTCTCTATCTGACTTATTTTACTTAGCTTAATACCCTCAAGGTCCATAAATGTTGTCGCAAATGGCAAGATTTCACCTTTTTCAACACTGACTGGTATTACCTTGGGTATATATACCACATCTTCCTCATCCATTCATCCATTAATCACTACACTACTGTGTTCACTTGTATATGTTTGAAATCTTCCATAATAAAATGTTAAAACTTAAGAAAAGTATTTCTTCATCAATAGAGTTGCTGACATAGATTAACTCTAATATTCTCATTACCATTTTGGGTCTCTATGGGACCCCAGGGCACTGTAGGCAACTACAACAATGTCCTTGGTGTTGCAGAACTCCAACAGTTTGCTCTGGTTGAGGTAAGGATGACATTCCACCTGTAAGTTGCCAACAACAAAAGGTATCGGAATACATTAGCCAATAACATGTAAACTTGAAAAGTCCTTTGAAGGAATATCTAACACTACGTTAATATTATACTGTATTTTTCAGATTGGTACTTATCCCCATGCACCTTCTGAAATAGCTTTAAATGCTGTGGCTTTTCAGAAATGATCATACAATCGTCTCCTTATATTTTTATTAGTGTTTAAAATGACTAAAGACTCATGTAGCAGGTTGTGGCCTCTAAATGGCATTTCCTACTGAAAGAAACAAAAATTCCTTAGAAAAATGGCTGAATGCAGGTCTGGGCAAAAAAGCTACATACTGAGCCTGGAACATCTTACACTCTAGAAAGTGAAGAAGATAAGAAAGACAGGCATGTCAAAGGACTCAGGAAATTATGGGAAGAGACAATAAAATGTTGACAATGTGATCATTAATAAGAATAGTAACTACATTGGATGGGAAAACCGTATTTGTTAAAATTCATGAATTGACAAGGACATATATATGTGATGAAATCTTAGATCTAACCTCCAGTTACAGGGTTACAAAGACAGAGTACCATGTCAAACTGCATCACTGAGATCAATCAGTAACATCAATTGTGTGAGAAAAGTTAAAGGAGAAAAGGCTTTCTTTCTTTCACAGATAAACTGAAGGAGGAGGAGGAGGAGAGGGAGGAGGAGGAGAGGGAGGAGGAGGAGAGGGAGGAGGAGGAGAG